GATAGATAGATAGATAGATAGATAGATAACCTGGTCATGGCTAGCTGAAATGGAGCTCCCGATGCCGTGGAAGGTCATCTGCACAGGTGAGAGGGTCAGGTAGGTCATAAACTCTTTGTCAGTTTGCCGATCGGAGTATTGCACCTGCATGAGACGAGAGACGGAGGGAAGGGAGTATTAAATATTATGTGATGCAATTTGCAGCATGTACTGCACTGTGGTTCTGACCTTGGAAAACATTTTGTGGGAAAAGTACAAACTGGATCCTCATACTTGGCTGGTAGGTTGTGCTCAGTTTTACTTGGTAACAGCAGTGGTTTTAGATTCTGATCTTCATCATCATGAATGGTCCACAATCTATGCTTTCTCAAGCGCCCTGATGGCGAGTGATAGAGTGATTTAGAGGCAAGCTCTGGCCCCGTTTGGGGTTTCTGAGAACACCTCTGCACATCAAACTCCACTCAGCAACACCAAAAGGATTGTGTGTGTGTTTTCTGGTTTCTGGACACTATGCTGGGCCACTTTGATCATGTTATGCCTGACCTATATAGATATCCAGGCCATTTTTTTTTTTTGTTAACAACTCTTTATTGAATTTTCTTCTGGGAATAGTAAAATAAAACAAACAGCAACTGTGTAAATTTGATATCCAGGCCATTTTAAAGACTTTGCAGAACATACAGAATTAAAAAATAAAACTGCTTTTTCATTTTATTACTTTTAGAATTTTTTTTTTAGAATTTAGGTTTTGCTAGTGTTTTTGGTAGCATAAATAATGACTGCAAATTCATTTTAGAATGAACTATTTCTAAAAAACACTGAGAAATTCAGTGGAAACAGATCTATACGTCTGATCATATAGATTTGGGAAAAGTGTCAGTTGTTCCATGGGAAAAATGTCTGGACAGCTGGTTTCAATGAGTGAAAGTCTGCTTCCAGAGAACTCCTTAGCACAAGAAATGTCTTGGACTAAATGCTCATATATTTAAAATAAATAAATTGTTAATACATAAAACGGAGAATCCTGAAGAGAAGAGAAACAGATGAATGAGTGCAACAGCAGACTGAAGGAATCTCTCACTGCTTGAACGTGTTTATGTTCAGTCTTCAAGTGGTCTGATGGGCTGGATCCACGGGGCATTCCACTGTGAAGTGTGTTTTAAAGACAATGTTAACAACATGGTTTGCAAGAAGCACAATGTGTGATTGGCGTTCACAGCTCCAGGAAACAGGAACTCTGACATATACAAACATCTGTCTGGTGAAGAGAAGAAATAAATGGCTCCACTGAGTTCCCGGATCCTAGGGCTCTTTTTGTTTCATAATTACAGCAAAAAAAATGAAAAAAGAAAACCTAATCAAAAGTGGTCTGGTCTGTCACTAAACCACGCTTATCATTAACAAGGGGGATAATGGCTGTGAGTGTTCCGACTGCCTGAATGTTGGCGCTGATAAAATCTTGAAGAGTGAAACTGTGCTAGTAACTAACTGGCTGCGGAGAGTCGGATATATCCAAGGAAACTCTGCAAACAAACAATGCAATAAAATATCTGTTCTCCCCAATGAATCTTCATAATGAACACCTCTTAATGACAGCACACTCCATGATGCTTTCAGATCTGTCAGCACAAATGTGTCAATCGGTTAGCCATTTTCCCAATATTAGATTTGTATTCCAAAGCAATCAAAGAATCGGCATGGAATGCATTAACTGGCTTGAAAAACCGTGGGAAAAAGGTGATGAAATACCAGTCTGTTGAACAAAACGTTGCTTTAAAATCATCTGTATCTGGAACTCATGTAACATACAACAAATACAAAGAAATCCAAAACCTTTGGGCACTTAAGTCACACTGACAATGTCTGAATGTCACTGTTTTAGATGTAAAATATCAAACTAAGTGACATCAGCCAACTGGTGTTACAGTGATTTTAAGTGAATACTTAGTTTCAAAATTTTAAACCTTTTGTCTGAGTGTTTTTTTAATATATATATATATATATCTTTTAATTAAATAGATAAAGTGATAGAACGATAGATAGATAGAACGATAGATAGATAGATAGATAGATAGATGGCTAGACGGATAGACACAGACAGCTCAACGGGTAAAAAGACCGTATAAGTCATTATAATCAGTAAGTATGTCCCCCACTGGATGCAACAAATGCCTCGTTTGTAATGGGTTTTATTGGTGTTGTCTGGCTGCGGAGAGTCGGATATATCCAAGGAAACTCTGCAAACAAACAATGCAATAAAATATCTGTTCTCCCCAATGAATCTTCATAATGAACACCTCTTAATGACAGCACACTCCATGATGCTTTCAGATCTGTCAGCACAAATGTGTCAATCGGTTAGCCATTTTCCCAATATTAGATTTGTATTCCAAAGCAATCAAAGAATCGGCATGGAATGCATTAACTGGCTTGAAAAACCGTGGGAAAAAGGTGATGAAATACCAGTCTGTTGAACAAAACGTTGCTTTAAAATCATCTGTATCTGGAACTCATGTAACATACAACAAATACAAAGAAATCCAAAACCTTTGGGCACTTAAGTCACACTGACAATGTCTGAATGTCACTGTTTTAGATGTAAAATATCAAACTAAGTGACATCAGCCAACTGGTGTTACAGTGATTTTAAGTGAATACTTAGTTTCAAAATTTTAAACCTTTTGTCTGAGTGTTTTTTTAATATATATATATATATATCTTTTAATTAAATAGATAAAGTGATAGAACGATAGATAGATAGAACGATAGATAGATAGATAGATAGATAGATGGCTAGACGGATAGACACAGACAGATAGATAGATAGATAGATAGATAGATAGATTCTATTACCTGGTCATGGCTAGCTGGAATGGAGCTCCCAATGCCGTGGAAAGTCATCTGCACAGGTGAGAGGGTCAGGTAGGTCATAAACTCTTTGTCAGTTTGCCGATCGGAGTATTGCACCTGCATGAGACGAGAGACGGAGGGAAGGGAGTATTAAATATTATGTGATGCAATTTGCAGCATGTACTGCACTGTGGTTCTGACCTTGGAAAACATTTTGTGGGAAAAGTACAAACTGGATCCTCATACTTGGCTGGTAGGTTGTGCTCAGTTTTACTTGGTAACAGCAGTGGTTTTAGATTCTGATCTTCATCATCATGAATGGTCCACAATCTATGCTTTCTCAAGCGCCCTGATGGCGAGTGATAGAGTGATTTAGAGGCAAGCTCTGGCCCCGTTTGGGGTTTCTGAGAACACCTCTGCACATCAAACTCCACTCAGCAACACCAAAAGGATTGTGTGTGTGTTTTCTGGTTTCTGGACACTATGCTGGGCCACTTTGATCATGTTATGCCTGACCTATATAGATATCCAGGCCATTTTTTTTTTTTGTTAACAACTCTTTATTGAATTTTCTTCTGGGAATAGTAAAATAAAACAAACAGCAACTGTGTAAATTTGATATCCAGGCCATTTTAAAGACTTTGCAGAACACAACATAATGTTCTTTTTAACAACGTCATATGACCCCTTTAATAAATGCAATTAAGTGCATTTAAGTTAATTAACCAATCATCATTTACTGAGTAACTGATTTGATTACAATTTTTAACCAATTAATCTTATTAATATAATAACCATCTTCATATAATACAACATAATAACCCATTAATTAAACATAATAAAAAAATTATATAAAAATGTATAATATAAAATCTTACTTAAAGGGGACCTATTATGCAAAATTCATTTTTGCATGGTGTTTGGACATAAATGTGTGTTGGCAGTGTGTGTACACAACCACCCTATAATGATAAAAATCCACCCACTCCTTTTTTTTAATCCCCATAAATCATAAGCAGTGTCTCCCAACTACCTGTTTTCTGACTTGGTGCTAATGTGACGTCACATTAGCCACAGGCCCCGCCCACGAATGTTGACAGACACTGCCGTTTTAACATAGAACCGCCCTGAGCGAGTTCACAGTGAGTTGTACACAGTCTGCCATTGCTGCACTGACGAGAATGTCTCCCAAGCGTTTTAGGTGTTATGTAGCTGGATGTATGAATCCACATAGCTCTCTCCTTACTCCCGAAATCTGAGCCGCTGAAGACAAGGTGGATTAATTTTGTTTTTGAAGAAATCAAATTCTACAGAAGAAATCATTTTACACCGGACTGCTTTGTGAATGAGGGTCAGTATAAAGCAGGTTTTGCACAAACGTTGCTCCTGAAGGATGGAACAGTGCCAGCTGTTCGTGATCCAGCTACACCTCCAGAAGAAGTAAGCACATGCTACCAGAATGATCGTAAATAGGAATGTGGGAGTTAAAAATTGCATATGAAAGCAATGTGAAGTCGATCGCTGGAATTAGTCGAGCTCATAATCACAAGGCTTATAAAGTTTGTATGGCACCATGAGTTATTTTTATCGCGCCGTGCTCCCGTCTGTGTAATTCATAAAGTGCATTTTTTATGCACCGTACAATCAGATGACTGACTTTTAAACCGAGTGCATTTTCTGTCAAGATAACAGTCTTGTACTAATTGTGGAGTGTTTATTTGCAAAGGCTAGCACCGTTATTGCCGGAGCTTGAGCTCTTGAAGTTCCGCCCTCTTCTCCGGGAGCACCAGCTCATTTGCATTTAAAGGGAAAGACGAAAACGGCACGTTTTGGCTCATACCCTAAAAGTGGCAATTTTAACAAGCTTTAAAAAATGATCTGTAAGGTATTTTGAGCTAAAACGTCACACACACACTCTGGGGACATTAGAGACTTATTTTACATCTTGTAAAAAGGGACATAATAGGTCACCTTTAAAAATATCAGTAACACTTTACAATAAGGTTCCAATGTCTTAACTAACATTAACAAACAATGAACAAATAATTTATTACAGTATTTATTCATCTTTGTTAATGTTAGTTAATGAAAATACAGTAATTCGTTGTTAGTTCATGTTAATTCACAGTGCATTAACTAATGTTAACAAGCACAACTTTTGATTTTAATAATGCATTAGTAAATGTTGAAATTAACATTAGCTAAGATTAATAAAAGTATTGTTCATTCTTAGTTCATGTTAACTAAAGTAGTTAACTAATGTTAACTAATGAACCTTATTTTAAAGTGTTGTGTATCCGTTAGCGATGCTGCATGGGTTTGATTTAAAACTTTTCCTAATGCACTTAATTGTGGTGGAGTATTGCCACTTAGAGCAAATAACTGTGGGCCACCATCAAGCTCAAGACGCCCAGATCAGTGCCAGTTTCCTGTCAGCCTCAAGATTAATCTCCCTGACAAACTTTGTTTTAAAAGATCGCTCCTCGCACAAATACACCACAGCGATACAGCTGGACCCCATCAGAACGAGGCAAAATATCTTTATAATTTTGGAGAACAAAATCTAAAATAGGTATATTTTATTAGTTATATATAATAATGTCTCTTTGAATGACATTAATTAAAATTATATGAATATATAAATAATTATTAATAATAAAATATATAAAAAATATGTTATATAAATATTAAATAAAATTATATAAATATATACAATTCTATTTATTGTTTTAAAAGATCGCTCCTCGCACAAATACACCACAGCGATACAGCTGGACCCCATCAGAACGAGGCAAAAATCAGACCATAAGGGATTAGCACGTCTCGCATGTGTTTGCTAATGAAAATCCCAGCATAAACACCAGCTCCAGGAACAGGGAAAGGGCAAGAAACAAACCATCCCGCTCTTTGATGCTTGGACAGGAGATGCGTTTGATGTCGACTGTGTATAAGACGGAGATGTGCAGAGGAAAAGGAGCCAAATCAAGCGTAGGACGCTGCCAGTGCTATTTGAAGTGCTTTTTACACAGACGACACTGCAGAGTACGGGGGGGTAAGAAAAACAAAAAAAGAATAAACCGCGTTACGAGGCAGATCTTTTGGCGCAGATGTTCAAAACATACAACATCTGATAGTTTTTATTTTCATTAAAGTGGGATTTGCTACATGGCAAGAAAGAAAATTAAAACAAAATGGAGTAACATCTTGCCTTTGACTTAAGCACATGGACCAGTGATCCTTATCAGGACGATATTGCTGGCGTATTTAACACATGAGTTCGTCTGATAACATCATATTGCAGTTACATATGCGCTAAACCAGCATTTCGAGTCATAACACGTCTCTGTTTATGATACGTCTAGCTTCAGCATGTGTATTTAATGCTGTCCTGGACAACTGGGACAAACATTTCTACACAGAAACGGAGGGAAAAGTCTAAAAATAAATAACTACACTTTTAAAAAATAAAGGTTCTAAAAAGGAGTTTTCGCAGCAATGCCATGAAGAACCTGGCAGTGAACAATTATTGAAAGAACCAATCTAAAGAACATTTTTCCACTATAAACAACCTTTTGTGCATTTGAAATGTTCCATGGATGTTAAAAGGATCCACAGTTGCAAATAAAGAACCTTTATATTTAAAAGTGAAATAATTTAGCAAATATACTCAGCCTATCTATAGCGTCTGAAGCCAGTTAGATAAAGCTTCACTTTTCCTAACCAAATATGGCTCCTTTTACCACTAAAGCTTTTACCACTACTGCACATCAACAAATTTGATACATGCTGGATTTTACAGTTATAACATAAACATATCTTTAATCACCTCACAAGTCATCCAAAAAACAATTATTCACCGATTTTTGGGTCGGATTGAAAGTCTAAGGCATACCAGTGCCAAAAACGTCTTCTGAATCATATCATTCGCCATAAATGAAACGAGTCACCTTCAAAAGCCCACATCAATCCACTTCTGTAATTGAAATTATGAACCTGATGCTACTGCGGAGTTATACAACTCCAGATGTTCTCGCATCAAATTAAATCACTTTCATATCATCAGTCAGTGCTTTGTCATTAAGGGCAATATGGTGGGTTACAGGTTATAAAGATGCTGAAGGTGGGCAGAGCAGAAATTCAAGTGTGATTAAAACTTATGAATCGTCGGTCATAATAATGGCTTGAATGGCAGTTTTTCATGTATAACTTCAGGTTTGGGCTTAGCTTTGTAATTAATGAGAAAGCATTAGGGATATTAAGGATGCACTGATATTAAAATTCTGACCATTAACATTACCATGTTATGGCAGATAAATATATTCATAGATGGACAAAAGTATTGGGACCATTACACCAACAGGAACTTTCATGGCATTTCAATCTAAATTCATAGACATTAGTATGGAGTTTCTGCCCAGTCATCCAGTAGAGCATTTGTGAGGTCAGGCACTGATGTTGGACTAGAAGGACTGGCTGCTTGAGGTCAGGGCTCTACACGGGCCAGTCAAGTTCTTTCAAATCAAACTCATCCAACCATGTCTTTATGGACCTTGCTTTGAGCACTGGGACAGTCATATGGGAATAGAAAATGGCCTTCCTAGAACTGTTCCCACAAAGTTGGAAGCACAGCATTGTTCAAAATTTCTTGGCATGATGAAGCATTAAGATTTCCCTTCACGGGAAGTAAGGGGCTTAACCCAACTCTTGAAAAACAGCCCCTATACCATTATCCCTCCTCCACCAAACTGTACAGTTGGCACAATGCAGTCAGGCAGGTAATGTTCTTCTGGCATCCACCAAACCTAGACTCGCCCATCATACTGCCAAACCGAGCTTGTCACTCCACAGAACAGGTTTCCACTGCTCCAGAGTCCAGTGGCGGCACGCTTTACACAACTCCATCCAAAGCTTGGCATTGTACTTGGTGAAATGAAGCTTGCATGCAGCTGCTCGGCCATGGAAACCCATTCCATGAAGCTCCCGCCACACAATTTTTGTGCTGATTAATGGCAATGGAAGTTTGTAACTCTTTAGTTATGGAATCAGCAGAGCGTTGGAGACTTTTAGCTTCAGCACTCGGTGATCTCACTTCATGACTTTATGTGGTCTTCCGCTTC